TCCAGCCTGGAGAGCTGGGGACGGTGAGGGATGGTGGTATAAGCCTGAGTGAGTGGGCTGAGGAGGCCATGCGACACTCAGCACCCTCACTGGGCAGCTGACCCCCGGGGTGTTGACCGGAAGTGATCACTCCGACCCCAAGGAGCCAGAGACCCGTGTCTCCTTCTGATCTGGTAGCCCGCTGGGCACAGCCACAGTGAAAAAGCCCGCCCCCGAGTCCTTGCAGGCCCCTCCTTCTTGCTTCCCCTTCTATATCTCTCCTTCCTGGACATTTCCATTTCTGTAAGCGAGAGCCAGGTTTTGCTCACCTTCAAATCTTCTAATCCCTAGACACCTGATTCCCTTTGCAGAGATTAGTGAGAACTTTTGGTATTCATTTTGGCTCTTCTGGCTTCACTTAACATGAGATGCTCCAGTTCCATCCAAGTTGCCTCAAGTTGCATCATTTTATCCTTCCTTGTGGCTGCAGTGTTTCATCCCATATATATATCCCGACTTCCGGTAAGGGGCCTTAGGCTCATCTGTGTTGTAGAGGCAAGGACCCAGAATCTTGGGCTGAGCAACAGTACAGCAGGTCGGACGCTTGTCTTGCATGTGGCCCACCCTGGTTCAGTCCCTGACACCCCGTATGTATCGTCCCCTGAGCACCACCGAAAGTAATTCCTGAGTGCAGAGCTAGGAGTAACCCCTGAGTACCACTGGGTGTGACCCAAAACAAAACAAAACAAAACAAACAAACAAAACAACAAAAAAACTTAAGTATCTTTCAAGGAGCCAGGTTGGGAGGAGGGAGGGAACCTGGGATCGCTGGTAGGGGGACAAGGCTGAGGGGTGGCGGAACTGGAGGAGGAATACTGTACGCCTGAGACCCTGCTGTAAACTACTCTGCAAATCACGGTGTCTCAATGAACATGAAAAATTATTAAAAACTAAAGAGCTCCCCCTTCCTGCCTCCAAGGTGCTCCTGCCCACCCCGTGCCCACGTAGCCCGTCAGACGTCCTTAGGAGGAAGGGACGACCAAGGCCCCATCGTACAGCTGAGGAAACTTGGGCCATGAGGACTCAAGGGTGGCCCAAAGCACACGCAGCCGCAAATGCCCCCAGCTGGGAAGACTCAGGGCGAATCTCCCCCTAGGACAGGGTGGGGGTACAGTGCCTTGGGTCCCCCTCACTGAATCCTCCCAACAACTCTGGGAGGCCAATGCCTGAGCTCTGAGGAAACTGAGGCACAGTAGAGGAGGGACTTGGAGGTGCAGAGCCTGGAGGAAGCTGAGCCCTGGGGTCTCTCAGAGATGCTGGGCTCTTACGAGACTGACTGGCCCAGTTGAGGGGAAAGACTGGGGGAGCCCCGCCTTCTCCTCTCTGAGGGCCTGTGAGAGGTGCTCCTGGAAGTGTTCTCGGATGCAGCTGGAGGCAGTCCACATGCCAGGCTGGGCCAGCTGAGACTCAGGACTGGGGTACTGGGCTGGGTGTGTGGGGGCAGGACCCACCGAGAGGAGGGCCACTCCCTGGGGAGCCACCTCCTGTCACCTCTGCGCCGAGTCTCCCCACGGGCCTGTGGTGAGAACCGAGGCTCAGGGAGACGCCACGCCCACAGTGGGGTTTGCCCCCACACGCTGACCCCTCCTGGGCTCAGCTGGCCTTGATGTCTGTAACATGAAGGTGACAACAGAAGGTTCCCCCACGAGGACGCTGAGGGAGGGAGGGAGGGAGCCCTGGGAAGTGGGGGGAGCACCCCTCAAAGGCACTTCTGCTTCCCCTGTTCTTGCCTCTGTCTTTCCCTTTCCTTCCGGCCTGACTGTGCCAGTTCAGCCCTAGTGGACAGGCCAGGGAAGGGGAGAGAGAGACAGAGACAGAGACAGAGAGACGGGGGGCGGGGGAGAGGGAAAGGAGGGAGAGGGAGAGAAGGGAGAGGGAGAGGGAGGAGATAAGTGCCTGCTGTAGAGGCAAGTGGCGGGCTGTGGTGGCAGGAGGACAACTGGGGCCAGTGGTGGTGGGAAATATGCACTGAAGGGATGGGTGCTGGAACATTGTATGACTGAAACTTGATCATGAACAACTTTGAAACTGTGTATCTCACTGTTACTCAATTAATAAATAAAAATTAAATAATAATAATCATAATAATAATTTTATTATTTTTTTTATTAGTAAGACACCATGAGGTACAGTTGTAGACTTACAAATTTTTGTGCTTGGGTTTAAGTTATATAATGATCCAGTACCCATCCCTCCACCAGTGCCCATTTTCCACCACCACTAATCCCAGTATCCCTCCCACCCCCCATCTGCCCCGTCCCACCCTGCCTCTGTGGCAGGGCATTCCCTTTTGTTCTCTCTCCTTTTGGGTGTTGTGGTTCGCAAAAGAGGCATTGAGTGGCAATCATGTTTGGTCTATAGTCTACTTTCAGCATGCTTCTCCCATCCTGGGAGGATCCTCCCAACACCCTTTATTTGGTGCTCCTTCCTCTATCTGAGCTCCCTTTTCCCCTCGCATGTGTGGTTGGCTTCCAAGCCATGGAGTAAAATTCCTGGTACTAATCTCGGCCATTCTTGGGCGTTAGTCTCCTATTTTGTTACTTTGTGTTCCCCAGATGAATGCAATCTTTCTATGTCTATACCTCTCTTTCTGACTCAAATAATAATAATTTTTAAAAGGATGGGCGAGGGAGAGGGATGAGGCCAGGGGAGGTGGTGAGAAAGGAGACTTTCCCAGAGCATACAGATGTGGGGGGCAGACCGTGGCTAAAGGACTGGGGAGAGGAATCTGTTCAGCAGAGTGACCCTGTGGGCAGCACTAAAGTGGTTAGGACCCACAGGAGCACAGGGGAAATAAGCCCGTCATAGTCGAGTACAGTGTCCAGGCACACATCACAGTGAACCACACTGGCAGCACTCTGCCTCTTAGCACTGGCCCAGTCCCAGCCTGTGGCTCCTGTCCTGTCCCCAATCCTGAAATGTGGGGGCCCCTTCATGCCAGCCACACATCACACGTGCACCCCAGATGCAGATCCTTAGGGGTCCCTGAGAGTAGGTGGCGGGGGAGTCCCCCTGAGGGTGGGGGTGCCACTGCCCCACGACTTTTGGTCCTCCCAGGCCAGCTCTTTCGAGCTCACAGTCCTTCTCGGTCCCACTGCGCGGCTGCTGTCTGGGGTGTAGCCTGACACACAGGTGCCTCTTAGAGGCAGAATGGCACCCACAAAAAAGACAAAAGCAGGAGGGGCAGGACAGTCGGGCAGAGGTGTGGCCTCTCTGCAGATCAGTGCAGAGCCCAAGGGGCCTTTTCTGTCACCTACACAGCCTACACCGCCCTGGGTCCCTTTTCCATCGCTTCTCATTTGCTTTGGGACCTCACCGGGTGATGCTTGGGTTACTCCTAGCTCCGTGCTCAGTGGTAGCTCCCAGCAGGGTCTGGCACAGACCCCAGGCAACCTACCTGCAGAGCATGTGCTCAGCCCTTTGACTCATCTCTGCCCCATGCACCCCACCCCTACCAAGTCACTTTGTCTACCCAGGAAGCGTGTTGCTCTAGAATGCAACGTCTCCTCCAGGGACTTTCAGCCTGGAAATATTTTTCTGTTTCTGTCCAGTGTTGCTCGTCAGTGCCTGAGTCCCCAATGAACTCTGGTCTCGCACATGGGTTCTGAGATAGCGGAGACAGCGCTTAATGTGTATTTGTGGATCCGGAAGACGCAGCTACGGGGGGCACATGCGTTGCTTCTACAGGACAGTTTGGCAAAAACATAGAACATCAATTGTTTACAACAAAGAACGGCTGACCCATTGGCTAACTGAATCATGCAAATAACTACTTAGCCAGGGGAGAGATTCCTACGGGCAGGCTGAGGCCACGTGAGGGCAGATGGCTTCAGAGGGCAATCTATTTGATAAAGTTTACTCTCACCGTATAAGCGCTGCAAGATTAATGGGAACAGTGGCCCTAGACCTTGTTTTGCCTGGCTCTACCAACTGAAATAGTAAAACAGTTGTATTTATCATAGACAATTGGCTGCAACTGATTAACATTAATCTGATTTCCTGTGAGTCAATTTCCTTGAGATATAGCAAACAGGCCAATTACCTGTTATTGGCTTATTTTATTATGAAGATTTAGATATTAGTGACAGATGTATATGTAAATATATGGAATTTCTAACAGTTTGAATAAAAAACCAGTGTTTAATCCAGTTATTGCATTTCTAGTTACTTGCAATTTTACAAGGCTTCTTTTTAAAAACTACAGTGAAAGGCCCTTCCATGTAACAACTGCCTCATGCAAGAGTAGATCAGGGGACCTCCCTCACCCCCGGAAGTGAGACCTGGGTTTGGCGTGTCTCCACGCCCCCTCCCCCCACACCCTCCCACCTCCATCCATCATCTTGTGCGATCTTAAGAGTTTTTGCTAAACTTTTCATGAGCTGTGGTTCCCAATCTCTGATACAGGGTTAGGATTTCTTTACAGTGTGCTCAGGGCATAAGGATCAAGCTGTGCCATGGTAGATAAGGCCCAGCGAGCCAGCGGACACAAAAAGAGAGGCCAGTCCCTAGGGGCTTGCTTGTGCTCCCAACAGGCTCCTCTGCTATCTCTGAGTCCCCAGCCACATGCCATGTCCCTGCCAGGCCTGCTTCTGGACTTTCTGCCTTATCTACTCTGGCTGGCCAAGGGTGATTGCCACAATGTGGATGGAATGAATGGGGTCATGCTAATTAGCACGGGAAGTCTGAAGAACAAAGATGGTCTTTGTATTAGATGGTCTCACTCATAGCCATTGGAAGAGCCACTACCCAGTGCTCTGTGTGGCTCTGAGGACAGAACTGGGGTAACCAAGGAGGGGTTTGGGAAAGGATGGGAAGGGGGTCCAAGGACAGTCTGGTCTTGGGATACTGGCATTTTGGCGGGACCCCGAAAACATACATTTACACTCTAATAACCAGTGTTACCCAAATGAACACCAACAACAACGGAAGGAGAGAAAAGAGAAGGAAACTGCGTCGACATCTAATCATGAAAGCAAAAAGTTTATTCATGTTTGAAACTACATATAACTACCACAAGGAAGACTTTTTCAATCCAGGGTGTAATCCAGTTAGAAAGGAACACGAAACGTTTTTAATACATTAGAATCACCGCCACAAATTATTTTCATGACTCAATCAGTTTCAGAATCGCATACAATACAAAAAGAGATAGGAGAGGGGCCCCATGACACAGGGTGAAATATACAGTACTGAATACTGAAATCTGAATGCATCACAATTAGTCGCAGCTTTTTTTTTTCTTTTTTTCTTTTGCATGAATTAATAACAAGATGAAGAACATTCGAAATGTTTCTCAGTATTTACAACAGTTTCACCGATCCTGTGTTAAGACCCGATGTCTCCACTCGGTTGTTTTTTTTTTTTTAAAAGTTGCAAATGCAACCCTGATTTTTCTTTTAAAAGATTACAATGTACATTACATTTTATGAAGGGAAACAAAGAGTTAATTACAAGATGCAAAAAGATAAGAAAGAAGACAAACTACAGCGTGAGTATTGTTCAGAGGTAGTAAGTGAGCACTCTAAGCTACAGAACATGTTGAAATTCTATTGGTTCGTATGAGTTCGCATGAGGTAATAAAGCTGTGTTCTGATTGGTGAGATGTATAAATACTCTTTTGCTACACTATATACAACACTCCAGAGAGCGGGGCCTTGGTCAATGCCCTCCAGGCCCAGAGGACGTAGCAAACCTTGCCAAATCTGAGCCGCACCCAGCACCCGGGTCCAACCCCAGGCGGATCTCGGGGTCACCTCTATCAGCAGCAGGATCTCCAGCTCCCAGAACAACCTTGATCCGAAACTGCATCACGGCCGGGCTCTGGGCACCGGTGCTTTCAGAGAGGGAAAAGATGCTACCGGTCTCTGATCTAATTAGAACAGAAGAGATCGCAACACAAACGTGACGAGGAAGATTCCTAAACACAACCTTCATCAACAGAGAGAGCCAAACAGCTCTTGGATTTCAACTCCATTAGTGATATGAGAGAAAGACGGTCACAGGCTATGATGGAAATATGCAGGGAGTTCAATTTAGGTGAGGTGAAGCTTTGCATTTGCTTGAACGATTGAGGTTTTGTATATTTGTACTTTTTTTACCCTTAAGGCCAAGTCATTGGCAACTGTGAAACCATTAATGCAAAATATTGATAATAAATTAGGATAAAATAGCTACAGGACTGTTTAACAATGTTAAATCTTGGCCTAATTGGATAAAGTGCTTTTTTAACATTGTGTGTTTTTAAGTATAAATACAAATGATTATGATTCCTTAAAAAACAGATTTCTCAAGTTCTCTAAGAAGACAAGGTTTTACAGTAAAGCTGTAGATGGTGGGCTACAAAAACGCTTTCCTTTTCCTCCTATTGCTCTGAATGCACATGTCAAGGCATGTCAGCTCAGGGAAAAGTGTGGCCAGAGATTAGTTAGAGGTATCCGAGTGCACACTTCCTGGGCCTTCTGTAGGAGAAGTCACAGAGGATGGGGTGGTTGCGTCCTGCCAGCCTCCATTAGCCTGAAAAGAGAACACAGTTCAGTGGGTGCAGGTTGACGTATTCCTTCCACTCCCCAATTTAAAACACCCAGATGACGACACGAGAGCAGAGATGCATTAGCAAAATGTATTTTCGAGACCCACTTTGGCAGGAATTTGAAGCATGTGTTAAAGCAGGATTAAATGCATGTAAAACAAATCCATCCCCCCAGACTTGGCAATAAATCAGCATGCCCAAGGACGGTTCCAACTACTCCCAAGCCAGGCTGTAGTTCTCAGCCCCTGATTTGCAGGGGGAAATGGAACTCGGGAAGAAATTTTCTAAGAAAGGAGCCGGGGAGGAGCTCAATGCGATGCGTCAACAAAATCCTGAGCTCCACCAAGTCTAAACTTCAGCTCAACTTAATCCTTGTCTCCATTGAGAAGTTGCTGGCCCCTTTCCCACACATGCCTGACAGCTCGCACCTCCAACCCTCGGAAAATGAAGGCCAGAATTTGCCTCCAAATAGGATCTTCTGGAATGAAAATGCATGAACTCCGGAGGAGCGCACACTATTCAAATCTGTATCCCAATCATCCATAACTGCAGCCCCCGTTTGCCACGCAGCTGCTGCTCTGGGTGTGCTGCTGGCCCTGCCCGCCTCGGAGCTGCAGCAGAAATAACAGGACCCAGAAACAAATTTGCCTTCTGTCTTTGCCCATACAGGCGATTGCTGAAATCAATGTCCGATCAGATTTCTGCTGGGGCAGACAGCTTGTCGCTACATATTTTGATGTCAGTCAAGAAGAGGGAGGTGCTGGGCCTGTGAGTTGGAGAGCCCTGAGTGACAGCGACGGGACAGGCCTTTCTGGAAAGGCAGCCAAGGTGAGCTGGCTGACACCCTGTGTGCCTCGACACAGACCAGCCACTGGCTTTCCTCGACCCCGTGTGCCCCACTGCAACTTCTCAGGCAAGTGCCTCCAACTGTCTTCTTGTTTGCTTTTTGACTCACACCTGGTGATGCACAGGGGTTACTCCTGGCTCTGCACTCAGGAATTCCTCCTGGTGGTGCTCGGGGGACCATATGGGATGCTGGGAATCGAACCCAGGTTGGCCTCATGCAAGGCAAATGCCCTCCCCGCTGTATTATCGCTCCAGCCCCCTCCAACTGTCTTCTTACAGGCCTGCATCACTAGATTGCTGGGGGTGGGGGGGAGGGCATCTAGACATGACTGTCGGAGAAGCTGCATGCTGTCCTGCCCCTGTGCCAGACTTGAGGCGTTGTAGTCATGTACCTCCCTCCCTTGGGCAACACCAGGCACTGTGCAGGTTGGGGAGGACCAAACTGTCCCATCCAGATGGCCAGGGCCGAGGGGCCAAGGGATTTCCCAGGCTCAAGAGAGTCTGGTGTGTAGGAGAACCACAGTTAAGGAAGTAGATTTTAAGCTGAGCGGGGTTGGATGGCTCTGTGTTCAGGGGCGCCTCTGAAACACCCTCTTCTTCACCTGAAAGGTAAGTGGCTCTCCCCCTCAGGCGGGAAATCTACTTAAGAAAAAAAACCTCTTATGCAGATACAAGTCTAAAGATATTCCCTCTGAAGTAAACATCATTCCTCTTTTATCCAAATTTATAAACAACAAATGTACAATATTTTTACGCAGTCTGGCAGCTGGAGGAGAGGTTGTCAGCCAGCATTCTTTTTTTTTTTTTTCAAAATAAATTAATCCTAACTCTGGTGGTTTGAGATTATGCGCTGTATCATACAACAGCGCCTTATCAAGCCTCATCAGTGAAGACGGAATTCATGTCTGTAAAATGCTGCAGGCAATCACAGTTTCATATTTTATCATGTTGATAAGGATATCGCACATTCTCTGAAGCATTTCAAAACACTTAAATGAAAAAGGAGAAATGCAACTAAAAGGCTTTTTATATGGTTTGTTGTGGGTTATTATGAGTTATTTATAAACCCAAAAAGAAAGATTTGACACTTCAAATGTAAAAGATCTGAGTATTTAATGGCCCTTTTTTCCCCCTTTACAATTGAACATCCTCAATCACTTTTTAAATCATTAATATTTACTTTCATAGAAGCCAAAGCCCTGAAAAGGGGAACCATGCCCATTTTCTTGCCGGTTCCGCCAGTGCATGCTGGTCAATTCCTTCTCCCTACATCTGGAATCCAGGCTCCGCCCACCTCAGCGCCTCTACACACTCCTTTCCAGGTCTGTGCTCTGCCATTTGCCATCCACGTCAAAGGGGGTGAGGAAATCCAGTTTTGGTTATTTAGCTACCAAGGTTAAAATGATTTTCTCCACAATTATACATGAAGAGACCATGAAAAATGCTGGAAGATAATACTGACAATGGAACAAGCTGGTGTCAAATAACCAAATTCTTTGGTTTGTTGATCTTCAACAAACTAAGCTATGTTTGCCAGTGCTTCCTGCTGCTTGGTTCTACGATAAAAGGGTGCTTACTTAATTTTTCCTCTCCCCTTTTTAAAAAGCCCATCACCCTGTAAGAGGGCATGGCTCTCAGGAAACGGTCACTAAATTGGATCCTGCCTAAGGAGAACACTCCTGATGATAGAAAGCCGGCCATGCCTGGCATTGGTGAGGACTTCCAACCATATCTAGGTAATGTCAAATGTTTAAGTTCATAAAATAAAAGTGCAGTAAAGATGCTGCCGAAGCCAGGTCAGATGGCCACTGGCTGATTTATTGGTCGCTGTTTACCTCACTGTTGAGCCTGCTCTCTGGAGTACTCACATTTAAATTGTGTGGACTGTACAGTGAATTTCCTCCAAGGCCATCACTGTAGCCGCCCGTCTGATTGATAACATGACGGAGGGTATCCACCTAGAAGTGAGACGGAGCAAAATTCATCATCCTAAATCTATTAAAACATCATCACTTATAAAGGGAAACAATTTGAATTATGTGTGCCACAAGGGTTTAGCATCTTCAACGAAAGACAAATTTATCAATCAAATGTGACTGGCAGAATTTCAACAATTCTTTGCATATTAAAACCCACACATCTTTGTTTTTCACGCCAGCCTGACAATAACCTCCTCATGGCAATGCAAAGTTTCCAAGCACACCAACCAAACTGTGTGGCCATGGGAAAAAAATCTACCCATAAATATTTATATTACTTCTCTCTCTCCACACACGTATACACACACACACACACACACATGCTTTCGCGCACACACGCGTGCACGCGCGCGCGCACACACATACACACACCCTATATGCATAAAAAAGCAAGAGAATGAGGAAAGAGCTGAATCTGGAGTGAATTTTTTAAAACTCAGGTTTTTGCATTCTGACTTGAAAAAAAATTATGGAAACAAAACCGAGCAATAGGTTTTAAAACCTGGCACACACAATTTTTCTTGTTCTTTTTTTGTTAAAAGAGTAAGATGCGCCTAACCCCTCTCCATGAGCTCAAGCCAGAGCCGAATGCATTCACAAAGTTGATCAGGTTTGAATCATCAAAAGTCACTGTCACTTGGTTTCCCCCTGAATGGAATGGTGGGGTGGATGGGTCCCGTTTGGAAGCACCCAGCACAGGCTCTGCGCGGGCATGCAGACCACTTCCAGGGGTGAGAGTAAGGAGTTTTGAGCCCAAACCCTACCCTGCTAGAAAGGCCCCAGGTGGGGCATTTCTCCTACCTGTGATTGCACATTGGCTCCGACTTGGGACCCTTGGTAAGAATCCCCATTCAGACTCTGCATGTTCATGAACATGTCCCCAGAATTTGGGAGGTTAAAAGAACCAGAAGAACCTGGAAAGGAAAGAGTTAAGTCGCTGAATAACAGAGAGCTACACATAAAATCCTCAAGACCTAGTGGAGGGAGAGGAGAACAGGGCGAGGCCGTACAACATAAAGCACTTCCAAAGCTAAGAGGATGGAGGGCAGCTCTGGAGAGTTGGCACCTGCGTATTCTGCGTCCAGAAAAGTCCTCTCAAGGGGAAGCCCAAATAAGAAAGAGGGAAAGGGAAAACAAACAGCAAAACCCCCAGAAGCTGCCCTTATTTCCAGTTTTCTCTAGTCACTAAAGGAGCCCTTTGCTCTTCACTGGTAACCATCAGGGTGGACCAGGCTAGAGAAGAAACTTCCCTGCGCTCCACTTTGCATGCTCCGTTACTAAGAACTGGGATGGGGGGAGGGGAGAGCAGCGAGGACAACAAAACGAAGGAAAAAATTTTAAAAACTTTCAGAACTTTTAGAGATGTACTTACAGGGTTTCCTTGGCAAAGTCCCTTGTATTGCTACTCAAGCGCACCTGCCTGGTCTAGCTGAGCCTTATAACCTTAAGGTGTTTCTGCCTCTATCACACCGTTTCAACTCTGGCACAAAAGCTATCGGGGGAGCTAAGCTACAGCGTCCTGGTATGAAGTACCATATCCCTCACAGCTAATCTTCCTGACTGGCCCTTGAGTGCCAGCCCAGGCATCAAGGCAGTGAGAAGGAGGGCAGAGTGGCAGGGAGAGCACAGCTGAAGTGGTCCCCAACCTACCAGCTTCGTGGCGTACTGCAGCCCTCACTTCTGCTATCTTACTCCTCAACACACTACTGCTGACCTGAAAATGCTGCACGGAACAATATTGCTTAAATAATCATAAGTGGAAGTGCTTGGTCTAACAACTGGGCTAAAAACTACTGCTAAGTGCAAAAGTTCCAGAATTGATCAAGAGTTGAGTGGCATGCACTGTGAACAGCTGGCTAACAAGGTCTGGCCAGCTCCTCACTCACCCATCCCCCAAACAAGCGTGCATGTGAATATCACTGTTCCTTTATTAAATCCACTAGGACCTGAGTCTGGGCTCCCATTTCCTGACCTGCGGGACCGGGCCGCGAGGCATACGGTTGGCTGAGCAGGGCAGGGAGCACCCAGTACGCACCAGAATTTGGCGTGGTGGGCGAATTGGTCTGGTTGTTTTGCACAGCTGCGGCCACTGCATGCGCCGCGGTCACAGCTGTCTTGGCAGCGTAGAGGTTCGCTTCTTCCTGAAACTTGCCAATATTCTTCTTGTACCTGATTCGTTTGTTGCCAAACCAGTTGGATACCTAAAAATCAGGGAGATGAGTGAAGGGGACGAGTAAGTGGTCAAAGGGAGAGGAAAACGGTCAAACTTCAATACTAATAGTTGGACACCAAGGAGCTGGCCTGAGAGATGCTTGATACTCACTCACCAGTGATCCTTACCATGTTCTTGACACAGAGCTTCGTGGGGTCAGCCACACTAACGCTAAAATTAGTAGCACAATTTTAATGGCCAGGAGCATTGCTGATCGTAACAAAAAAAATATTCTGGGGCTGGAGCAATAGCACAGTGGGTTGGGCAAATGCACGTGGCCGACCCGGGTTTGATTCTCAGCATCCCATATGGTTCCTGAGCACCGCCAGGAGTAATTCCTGAGTGCAGAGCCAGGAGTAACCCCTGTGCATCGCCAGGTGTGACCCCCAAAAAAGCAAAAGAAATTCTTCTGCTATATATAAAATAATTGGTCCCCCTCCACTTCCAATTCACAGGAAAAAGAAAACTAAAAGGAAACATTTGTTAATGAGTGAAGTGGGAACTACTTGAGAAAGAATGACATTTCTTTTGCGTCTGGAACGATTTTGGCAGCTGTATAGAAGAATCATGTTTGGTCTGCTGAAAAGAGTAGCAGCAATTAATAATGGATGAGAAACTCCTTTGTCTCCCCGCCTTAGAAGACACTGTCTGTCTGCCAAGATGGCTGCTCAGGCAGTGCAGTTAACACATGAGGCAGCCGCACTCGGAAACGCGAGCAAGTCCGTTAAGGCCAACGGCAAATAGAGGAGGGCTCTCGTTTCACCCAGTGCAATGTGCTTAGTTCCCTGGCAAACCACTCGTGATGCCAGCCAGAGCACGTGGGTGAGGGGTCTGCAGAGGAGCCTGTCGAGAGCCCCCCTCATCCTGTTCATCTGATGGCAAAACTGTAGCTCAGGACTCCTTGCTCAGAGTTCACGTTCTACGTCCCCATGTTGTGGCTGAGGTACAGAGGAACTGAAAGCGCGCTCAGTGACGGACAAATAGGTACCCCCTTGCTGGAACAAAGGCCTGTACCTCTTGGTGTTAAAAATACATCCCTCTATTTCCTCAACAGTCTGCTCAAGGCACCTGTTGCTGTGTCACCAGGCGGTGTCTGCTCTGGTGGCAGTCACTAAGGAGCCCCAAGGAAAAACGAGGAGATGAGCCCTCAAACCCAATTTACACCAACGGGCAAGCTATTGAACCATCTCTGCCAAGTCTTGAATTGCCTTGGAAATAGAACTCTCGTTCTTCAACCTGTGGCACTCGTCCTTCTGTGGAAGAAGTGGCAGGGCACTGGCAGAGGCACCCGTGAGGAAGAGCATGCGGCTGCATCCCGGGAATGTCTGCGCTACACAAGCTCTACACAAGCAGAGGCTCATGAGGTGGCAACCACCCGGTCTCCTCAGGAAGGTCACAGTGAGGTATTCCTAGCACTTCTGTTTGCTCTCATTCCCTGCTAAAAGGCCCCACTCGCTTAAAGTCTAGAGTGTCGGGGCTGGAGCAATAGCACAGCAGGTAGGGCGTTTGCCTTGCACGTGGCCAACCCCAGTTCGATTCCCAGCATCCCATATGGCCCCCTGAGCACTGCCAGGAGTAGTTCCTGAGTGCAGAGCCAGGAGTAACCCCTGTGCATTGCTGGGTGTGACCCAAGAAGCAAACTAAATAAATAAATAACAGTGTGGAGTGTCTCACAAAGCCTCATGCGTACGTTTTCCTCATCCTAATCTCCAGGGCACCACATTTGTCCCCAGTTCAATGAGATTTCACTTCTCAACTTGCTGACCCTCTCAGCAGTGTCTGACATTTGCCAGTGCCACCCCTCTCTCTTAAGGCTTTCTTTGTGTTTATGTGATGCCACACCTGTGAGCTTTGCCCTCTTCCCTGACAGACCAGAATGCGTGTGTGTTTTGATTACTGTCTCAAATGTCTGCCTCTGTCCCTCACTTCCCTGAAACACTGCAGTGATCCATTTTGTTGTTATTATTATTATTATTATTATTATTTTTGCTTTTTGGGTCATACCTGGCAATGCACAGGGGTTACTCCTGGCTCTGCACCCAGGAGTTACTCCTGGCGATGCTCAGGGGACCATATGGGATGCTGGGAATCGAACCCGGGTCGGCCATGTGCAAGGCAAATACCCCACCTGCTGTGCTATCTCTCCAGCCCCTGCAGTGATCCATTTTAAAGGTAGTTCCCTATAAATAGTTGGCCATAACACCCAACTCAAGAGGTCTAAACTCAAAGCCCTCTAAACTTGTCTCTCTTCTCTCTTCTCTCTTCTCTTCTCTCTCTCTCTCTCTCTCTCTCTCTCTCTCTCTCTCTCTCTCTCTGTGGCTTTTCCACCTCACACAGGCTGGGCCTCCTGCTGGGCCTCTCTACCAGACAGCCTCTCTGAGGGACTAAGTGAGATTCTCCTTCTTCCCACCAGCTGGTCTCAGTTCATACAGAGCAGTTGTCATGGAGGAGGCACGGGCAGAATCTGGCCACTGACAAACCATGGCCTGTGGGGAACAGGAGTGGGTGACCATGCTGCTGTTGTGGGGTGGCCTCGCACCCCAACATGATGGAGAGAGAAGCTCTGGGAGGGTTTCCACACCAGCTGGAGACAGCCTCCCCTCGGTGACTAACAGGATCCGTTCTCATACCAGAATTATGGGTTTCTGAAAACAACAATTCTGAATCAAGACTGGAAAGGATCCTCAAGGTTCTGAGTGTCTGTGTTAAAGCCAATTTTCTTAGGCTCTGCCCCGCCTTACTCACGCTCCCAAGGGTGGATCTAGAGAGCTGATCTGCAAAAAGCCTCTTGAACAGATAACATTCCTCAGCTTATCTGAGTCTGACTGGCAGGCCTTTGAAAGAGTTAAATATGGAACATGCCTCAGTGAGAAGGGAGGTATTTCTGGTTGGAAGGGAATTTGGCATTTCTTAAGCATAATTAATGAAAATTCCCCAACTCTGAATTTAGCAACAAAGGCCCATCTTAGAGTTCTCTTCTTCTAAACAATTCTCTGTTGGATTCTGTACTTTGTAGTTAATATTACCTTGACAATCAGAGAAGCTATAATACATTAATGAAACCTAGCCTGGAAAATCAGATTACAGCTTTATTAACAGTTTCATAATTGAGGAAACTCTGTACCATCAAGGTCTCATCTCCAGATATGTAAGAATTCTCTGTTTATGCATACCCCTGGACCAATCAAACAACAGTCATCACTAATAAAGGTTTATTTAATTCTCACAGTAAAATTTTAATATCACCAGCAGCCTGGGGAAGCTTTAGCAAGTGGATTTGCTTGACATCAGATCGTTTCCATTCTGCTAGTCCCAATACTTCTTAATCTTTAATATCAAGGCAATTAAAATTAATGACCACTCATCCGAAGCTACTGTGGGCAGTGTTTCCTTGA